AGGAATGTCCAGAACTTACCGTGTCTCGCCTACAATACACATAAAAGCGTTGATTATTATATTCACTAATAAAAAAAAAATAGCTGCTATAATTGCTTACGTGTGTCCACAGACGCTTTGGCGTGTTATTCCTTATTATAAAATATAATAAAGAGTTTCGCATTCGTATTGCTGCCATAATTTTTTTCAATCTCAGTAGCCGCCTTTTTCGGATCTCTTCCAACTGTCTATTACTGGAAGCCAATTGCGCAATTAATTGAACTATTGCATCTTTTTGCCTTCTTTCCATATCGTTAATAATTAATAATAATTTAGCAAACGAAAAACACTTAAATGTTCCACCAAACTATTGTCCATGAACAAAAAACTTGTCAAAACAATCTTGACAGCTGATTGTCAATTTTGCAGCCAAACTCCTATATGTGAACGGGTAGTTTAGTTAACGCAGATTTATTGCTAATCTCTTTATATGTGAACATAATATAACTCACTTCGCTGTGGCGGCGCCCTTATATACCTGCGCTCGTACTTATGGCATCTCTAGAACGTTCTGAAGTTTATCGCTCATTCTCTTTCTCTCGCTGTTCGCAGTGTTCATCCAACTTGACGTTTCTCTTTGTGGAACACTCTACGTCATTCCTCGAACATTCTGCCTATTTCTCGTTGTTCGCTTCGCGTTGCCGCAGTATTCGCCATAGAATTGTGTTTTTTTTCACAAAAAATATGTATTTTTACAAGATTATATATCTTTTAATAATTTTTCAGAAAAAATTTAGAATTAAATATATTTTTACAAGATTAATAGATAAAGTTTTTTCATATAAAATGAGTTTAACAAAATAACTCCTTTTTTCTTATATTTCCCAAAAACTTTTCGAAGTGTTTTCCTGAAAGGCGGTTTCGAGATTTTAATATAGTTGTATCTGTTTTCGAGAAAAGGCTCTCGCAAGGGACAGATGACCCGACAACCGTTACGTATAGACGCAGTGTTGCCGTTGAGAATTTTCAGAAAGTCGAATTAAGGGATTCGTTGACGAGAAAAGGGGTCACCATATTATTTTTTGCTTTTCTTTACTAGTAAAAGAATAAATTTGTTGACTTTAAAAAGAAAATAGTGGGACAAGCTTTTCACAAAACAAGGTTGCAAACATACACATAAATCGAGAAGAGTTACGTTTCTTTTAAAAGTTTTAAGTGATGCATTTTTTCGTACTTACAGGAGGAAATATGTTTTAATAGCATGGTTCTGTTAACGTTTCCTAAAGTCTCTGAAAAGGGGCAAAGGTCGCACATAATTTTGGAAAAGGGTCAAAAAATCAAAATTTTCAGAGTCGGGTCAAAGGATATTGGCGCTCAAAAAGGGTTAAATTGCCACTTTATGCAGCGTCTTTGCTGCATTTAAAATGCAACATTTAGCACTTTCGAACATATTTTGTCGAAGAGCGTTCATGCTATCGCATTTAGCAAATGTACATTTACGCGAGTTCGAAATCGTATGCTTTTGACAAACAGCCGTGTTCCAGTCGCTTATTCAGAACCGTATCTATTACGATCAATGCTCACGCAGAAGATAATGTGCAACGCTACTGAAAAGGAAAAAATAAATTTTAAACCAAAACTTCAATACAAAAATTTGAATTGTTTTAACCATGACCGACCATTTGTTTATGTATATATTTATTCATTTTTCGGTGCTGTCAATTAAAATTTCCTCACTTAATTAGGAAACACAACAAACAGAATTGATCACAAATTGATCCAGATTTCTATCAGCATCACATCGATATTGAATTTTCTTAACTTTTCTTTATCCAAATAATGTAAAATAATAAATGAAATCTCGATCGGCGATCACTGAAACGCAGCTAGCCACTGTATACTCGAAAATGCAATGTTGCCACTTTTTATCATTAAACCATGTTCGAATCGTGGAAATTTTGGAAGATCACAGGGTTGCTTTTAGCATTTAGATTCTTATGCAAAAATGGAGTTGCATTTAGTTGCATTTAGGTGACAAATTTTTTTATGGATAAATGTGCAGCGTTTTTGCTGCATTTAAAATGCAACATTTAGCTCTTTCGAACATATGTTTTCGAAGAGGGTTCATACTATCGCATTTAGCAAATGCACATATACGCGAGTTCGAAATCGTATGCTTTTGACAAACAGCCGTGTTCCAGTCGCTTATTCAGATCCGTATCTATTACGATTAATTTTCATGCAGAAGATAATGTGCAAAAACCCTACTGTAAAGAAAAAATAAATTTCAAACCAAAAATCAATAGAAAAACTTGAATTGCTTTAACCATAACCGAACATTTGTTTGTGTATATATTCATTTGTCGGTGCTGTTAATTAAAATTTCCTCACTTAATTAGGAAACAAAACAGAGTTGATCACAAATTGATCCAGATTTCTATCAGCATCACATCTATGTTGAATTTGCTTATCTTTTCCTTATCCAAATAATGTAAAACATTAAATGAAATCTCGATCGGCGATCACTGAAACGCAGCTAGCCACTGTATACTCGAAAAAGCAGTGTTGCCACTTTTTCTCATTAAACCATGTTCGAATCGTGGAAATTTTAGAAGATCGCAGGGTTGCTTTTAGCATTTAGATTCTTAATGCAAAAATGGAGTTGCATAAATGTACATTTAGAGTAGCATTTAGAGCTAAATATGCTAAATGTGCTTTTACGCGTACGCAAAAACAGCCCATTAGAGGCCCTGTGCCAATTGATAGAAAATAGAAAATTTTGACGGATCAAAGGAAAAATTTGACATTTCTCGTGGTGAATATGAACGTCAAAATTTTACCTAGGTCATGGGGCTAGGTAAAATTTTGACAGCTTATAACCATGTATACACATAATATTGCTTGGCGGTAATAAGGAGTGAACATGAAAATGAAAGCTGACACAGCATAAAAAAAGCGTACGTTACTTGCAAATTATAAAATAAATATAAATTTTAAGAATTTCAGCAACACACAAAAATAAAGCTTTCGCACGAGCGTTTGTTTGGTTTTTCAACTGTCAAAATTTTACTCTGCATTTGGCACAGCAAAATTCAATTTATTTGTACACCATAGCAAATTTTTCCACCCCGTCTCACCACGGAGAAAAAAGTTACCGATTGGCACAGGCCCAGAGTAGCATATAGAGCTAAATGCGCTAAATCTAGTTTTACGCGTAAGCAAAAACAGCCCATTAGTCGCACAACGGCAATACTGTATATAGGGCATTCGCACGAGGCGATTTTACAGGCATCAAAAGTTGAATACGTAGTTGAATGACAAGTTGAGTGTGAAAAAGTTGCCATCCCTATTCAGACGAGGCGATTTTGGATTCAACACGAATCGTTATTTACATTATTGAAAATGAATTTAAATCGCAAAATTTTATTAATTGGCGTAAATTTGGTAAGCTAAGCGTTGATCTGAGCTGAGCTGAAAGATAAAATAAGAGTAAAAAAGTAAAATAGAAAAAAAGTATGTATACAGAACAGTGTTGGCATTTTTGGTACAATTGTACTTGTTTGATACAATTTCATTTACAATATACTTTCCTACTACGCAGTACTTTTTAGTAAAATTTTGTAATGAATACTAAAAATATATAGCTCTGAAAATTCACAGTTCGCCTGTTCGTATTTACCTTTGTAAGTTTTGAAAAATGGCTTGAACGAACCAGTATAACATAGCCTAGGCAAATTTTTAAAGAAACTTTTCGATACTAAGTTTTATTAAAACAAAATGTCAAAGTCAGCTTCATATAGAAACAAAGTCTTCGTTAGTTATAAGAAGAGATTTTCTTAAATATAATACCTTTACGGCACTCATATATTGACAAGGTTTTACTATTTATTTTATTATTCTTTAATTTTAATTATCTGTTTATAAACAATAATGTATTCTTTAAGATAAACTGTATAAACCCAAGATTAAATCTTTGCGAAACATCCAAAAACAAACATACTGTCGTAAAAATTTCGAGCTTTATTAATATTCCTTAGTTTTTAGCCCATTCAATTTTACTATAATAAAGTGCAAGTTTAAAGTAGCTGGGACCTACCGTTGAACTTGTCAATTTAGTTTTGTCGACGATGTCAGCCATTTTCTTCCATACGAAGTGTGTTCGACGATTTTTTTATATGGAGGAAATTAGCAACACCTTCATCAAAGAAATCTTAAAAAACTTAGTTATATTAAAATTTGATGGGCTAAAAAACCACACACTCAAAATAAATCTAGGAAATCGAATTAAATAGATCGAAATTTTTACGAAAGTGTGTTGGTTGTTTTAATGCTGCACAAAGTTTGAACCTTGGATTTGTACGGCTTTTCTTAAAATATAAAGCGTATTTTTACAAAAAATAATTAAAATTGAATAATATTAAGATAAATGGTCAAATCTTCTCGTAAAGTTTTGATAAGCACTTGAAATTCTATTAAAATGTCAAATTTTAGTACTGAATCCAAAGAAAATGTCTCTTTTATCCATTAATAATAACTTAAATATGCTTTTTGTTAAGATGTATACCTGAAAATGTGTGCATACATATTTGCGTTAAATGCAATACATGTGCACGTGGAATCAATTTGTAAAAGTGTAAAATACGTAAACGTATGTACATAAACAATAAAACTTTCTCATGAATACCATAAAATCATTGGTCTTGAAGGGAATGTACTAAGAAAATATATGAGCGAATTAAAAAGTGTATACAATTTATAGCCAAAAGTACATTTTTTGTATAGATTTCGTACTAAAGGAACAATTTGATATCCCAACACTGATACAGAATGTAAACAAACACAGGGTTGCAAGGAAAAAAAGTTGAACGAGCTCAAAGTTGGCTGGCGACCAACTTTGTTGAAAGCGATTAGTTGAAAGGCCGTTCGGACGAGGCGATTTTTGCTTTCAACTAAAAGTTGCCTGAAAAATCGCCGCGTGCGAAAGCCCTATCATTCAACTCCGCATTCAACTTTTGTTGCCTGAAAAATCGCCTGGTGCGAAAGGTCTATTAATGGGATACTTTTCAAAGAAAATCCTGAAGCATAATAAGTTTTTCGCTTCCGATACAAGAACTTTTTTCGATACCTACTTGGATCGTAGCAAAAAGTATCGAGTACAAAAATACTTAATAAATTGAGAAAAGTGCCTAGTATGTACTTGGATTTACTTGTATCGATTTATCCCTGCATACCTATATATCCCTAGACAAAGGTGGAAATTTATTTATACATAATTGAAAAAGCATTCCAATCATTAGACGAATTCAATTTAGAAATATGACTATTTTAACTAAACCGTCAAATGAAAAAACAGCAGAAAAGCTTGCTCTACCGTTGAATTTAGGTAGACACGATGATACATCATTGAATGGAGGCGTAGCAGACTCGACTCTTTTGAGCGTAAGTTTCATTTTTTATAAACAATGTTCCATTATAAAAGTATGATACAAAAAAGACAGAACTGCCGTTCAAAATGTATTTAAAAAACCTCTGTGCTATTGTTACTTTTTCGTAGGCATATTAACAACCTAACAATTAGGCAGATTGTGACGTTTCGTGCTACCATACCCATGTAAATATACCATGATTTAATTATTGGAGCAAGTAACACGGCGTACACATATGATGGATGAGACAATTTTTCCAAGACAATGGGAAAATTTGAGTATGCGGACGGCAAATTCTAGAAAAAGTTGGGTTGAGGGGACTCCCTGATTTCAAAAATACCCCTTTTTTTAGCAACCCTATAGTTTTTATATAATTTATTGTTAAAGTTTTCATATAAACGATGAATAAGATAGCAAAATAACATAAAACTTGGTGCTGCCAGACTGAAATTTTGAATGATAGCGGATTTTTAATACGGAATTTTCACTTAGTAGAATTCTCCTTTCTGTGCTGCCGAAGAAGGGGGGGCTGAACACATTTTGCAGATAACACCTTTCTGCGTAGGCGGCCTTCGGCCGCACTTAGGGATTATAACTCTCACTACGTAGGATTCTCCTTTCTGTGTTGCCAAAGAAGAGGGGCTGAACACCTTTTGCAGAGAACACCTTTCTGCGTAGGCGGCCTTCGGCCGCACTTAGGGATTATAACCCTCACTACGTAGAATTCTCCTTTCTGTGTTGCCAAAGAAGAGGGGCTGAACACCTTTTGC